AGTGCAAGTTTTGAACATGAATAAAAATATTAAATGTTAACAGTTCATGAGGATGAAATAATCTCACTGTATGACTCTTCTCACCTTCACTGATGTCAAAGCAGTGAGCCCATTCTCTCAAAGAGAGGAATCTGTCACCATCAGTGTTGCACTGCGTGAAAAATCGGGAGGTGCAGTGCTCTATAGGAACTAATGGAGCACGAAGGGGAGCCAGCTCAGAATGGCTGAGATAACTGGAATGAGAATGAAAGCATTGTGAGTTCTATGGCACAGTACAACAAATATTTTTGGTCATTCATGTGCCTGGTACACATTGAAAAATATGCACNTTTTTTTCAAATCCCCCACCCCCGCTCAGAGACCAACACTAGCCTTGTAAAATGCTTTGAGATGCTATCTTGTGTGCATATTGTATATATAAGTGCGTTGTAAAATAGATGGATTTATCAATCACGATGAGACTTCACTACTCATCTGATGTTGTCAGACATCATGAAGTACTCCAAAACATTACCCCACGTGCAGAGGTCTATAGAAATGCAAATTGTTGCAGTCATAATACTAATGAACAACACTGACCAAAGGAAAATAGCCATCCAAATTGTAATTGGACTGAATTCAGTTTGTAATATACAAGTGAGACATGGCCCTTCAGTTTAATTAGACTCGTCTTTGATGAATCCCCAACCTACCATCTTCTCATTAGACCATCAAGCTCAAGCCATTTCGTAAATGTGTCTAGCATGCTCGCCTTTACCACCCTGCCCAGATGCAACTCCACCCAATCTCAAATTGACTTTTCCCCTGGTGAGTCCATCAGTTAAAGCAGACATGGGTTTAAAATTGGGATTAAAAAAAAAACTGATTATGACCAAGAAAATCTCTTCCTATAAAGGAATAAGAATCTATCACTGTCCCAGAAAGTCATGGATTGTTTGTTGTACATAGAATGGTTTATAGCAGAACTGGTTTGATGAACCAAATGACCTACTCTTGAGTTTAATTTCCTATGTTTTCCAATTAAAAATGGAATAGCAGAAAAAGAAAGTCAATATAAAGCTTGTTCCTTCTTACCCATCAGTTGGATGCTGGTCCAGCTGTCTGAATTGCCAGTGAACTGGATAGATGAATGAATAATAATTCTTGAAATCACTGTAAGGCAGATCCAATAAGTGGTCACCAGCATGAAGATTCTTCTCACTGTCATAAATTTTCTTAACCTACAAACAAAGGATTGTGCCATAATTGTACTGTTAACAGAAAAAGATGGGCAAAGTTTCTTCATTCAGAGGGTTGTCAGTGTGTTGAATTCATTATTACAAGTGTCCACTGAGGCTGGATCAATAAAATCATTCAAAGGGTTACTGGATAAATGCATTAAAAACATTTAAGATTATGGAATATTGATTTTTTTTAAAGTTAGTAGTAGCTCAGACACAATGTTCGCCTTCTATTGCTGAAAACACTGAGTTAATATTTGTCCCGAACCGGGTCGGGGCAAGTTCTAATCTGGGTCACCTGCAGGATTCACAATTTGTAAATCCTTTTATGGATCCTTCAAATCAATCCTCATGTAGCCTATGATGTGCAATCAATGTATTTAAGGCACTTCCTCAATATCTTCCAGTGGCTATTACTCCTCACTTTTGCAATGATCCAAGTGGGGTGAATTGACAGTCTTGTTTCACTGTTTCATGGTTATTGCTTGTTGAATTCTGGAAGAGCATTGATTTCAGAGACCCCTGCCTTCCAACCTGTGTGATCTCATCTTCTGAGGAAGGATGCAGATGTGAATGAGTGAAGTAATAAGGAAATCAATAAATAGGGACAAGAAACACTGGTTATAGTGTGATATGAGAACATTAATGCATTGAAGAGATCTGAAACTTGGTTCAAACAGTTGAGATGAGAATTTTCTCTCTCAGAAAGTCTAATGTCTTGGTAAATTTAGGTAGCTTTAATCTTATTCCCAAAAGACAAAGATCTTAATAGAAGAGATCACCGTGGTGCATAATTGGAGATAATACCCTAAAACTGGGATTTTTGAGGTACATTTTTAAAGCAGGGTTAATGATAAGTTTTTCTTTCATCTGACGATCTGACCAACCTGAATGATTGATGATCTAACTGAGTTTAAAATGAAACTCCCAATTGGTATTTAGTCAAGTACTAAAGAAGAACAAAACCAACACAACTCACTCTGTTTCTCTGTTTTTCAGTAAGGATTCCAGGGATCTGAAGATCGCGCTCGTACATTTGCATTAGGACATTCTTCAGCCAATTACGTAACCGCAAAGGGAACTGAAGCAATTCATTATCCTGGCATGGAGCTGTGTCTAGAAAGAACCAAAATAAACCATGTTAAAGCCTCATTTTTTCAATGTAAATTTTGTATAGATGTAATTTAATTAATAAGGCCACCGAATTCTTCAAAAATCAGATTTTTTTTAATTCTTGCATTTGACATAACATTTTATGCAGTGAGCTATTTTGACGGTTGAAATATAGGCAAACCTGGCAGCTAATCTGTACCCATAACATAATTGAAATGACAATGACAAAAAATAATCAATTCATAGTTTTGTGAATGTTGGATGAGGGAGGAATATTGGGACAGGATACTCAAAGAACTCCCTGCTCTTTAATGTCCACCTCAACACATACAGGACCTTTGTTTAATATCTCACCAAAAGGATAGTGCCTTTTACAATGCAGCACTTCATCAATATTATCTCAACCTAGATCCTGCTGAGGGCTGAACCCACAGAGTTTCAAGAGAGCTACCAACTGAACCAAACTAACCAAGCTAATACATGAAGCATATTTTGTATCATTGCAAATTAGACTGTCTGTTTAAAGAAGTAGCTAATTGTTTTCCTTGCACCATATTCAATGCAATATATTTCAGGTGAGAAAATCGTATTGCTGCTAATACTATGGTACTGTATTGGCGAAGCAATTTGTTCTTAGAATGACATATCAAAGCACAGATTAGTCAAAGTCCCTACAGGTACCAATAAGATACATCCACTCCTGTTGTATTATGTACATTATTTGCATAGTAGATTATTGTAACAGTCTTATCTTAATTTAAATCTATGATAAATGAAAATATTGAAACCTGGATAGTTATGGAATCGTTACAAACTCCATGTGCTTAATAATTTGGACCTTAGACACTTCTTGCATTACAAACTTACCTTTGCAGGGCCCAAAGTAGTCCAGGTGGAGTCCGTGTCCCTTCTTTGTTCCTTCAAGAATGCACTTGGAGGCAAAGAATTGGCAAGAGCTTTCATAGGTTCGGTTATTTGTGCCACACACCTGGAAAAAAACAAATTGTTTAATAATACAAGGAAAAATGTTGAAGTTTAGCAACTATGGACAAACTAACATAATCCCTAGAACAGTGGTGGCCAACCTGTATGGTTGGCAAAACAAAATACATTTTCTTGATTGAATATTTCTTGCGGGTTGGCTTGGGGACCCCAGAGCATGCGTTGGGGTATTGCTGGAGTCTAACCAGCTAAAACCACATAGCTTGCCATTGATATTGGTGTTCGGCAAGCTTTCCCACTCCTTGTCCAGTGAGGAACACCTGACCTGTTAGGGCTTTGGCTTGCAGGATTAACAGGAGCTGAGTGGGATGACTCTCTGCCTCCAGTGACTGGTCTGCCTCTCCGGGTCCTGTAGATGAGCCAGGCTGGGCTGTGCTGTCATCAGCAGTGCCCTGGAATACTGCGAAAGTGCCTGACTTAGGACCTGGTCTACTGGGACACCACAGAGGGCTGGCTTGATTCCAACAATCTGTTGCCAGGCATGTCACCTTGGAACCAATTCAGCGCTAACAAGATCCCGAATAAGAATATAAAAGAATCGGTTCTTTGTATTTTATCAGATAAACCCATGAAATCATATTTATTTTATTAACTTTCCTTTTCCAAATTCTGCTTACAAGCAGTAGTCCAAACCAGTTGGTATTGATTCAGTTCATGAATCACAGCATAAGATTAGTTCATAAGATTGGCTCAACTACCAAGGGATTTTGGGAGAATCCTAAAGTTTGAGGACCCCAAAGTCACCGAGAACATCAGTAAACAGTCATGGTACCGACTGGTGCTCAGAGAAACAACCGTCACACCATGGGACGTTTCCTGGTCCCCTTCAGGAAAGAGGTGAATGGGTTGCAATGAGTGGTTTCCTTAAAAGATGGTATTGTTTGGCACCAGAGCAGTCTGGAAGAGAACACACAGAACTCTCTGCATGTAGTTTATTGGCTTTTCATGATTAATATTCATATTTTTGTTAAGATGATGTGTGTTTTGAATTAGTATTTACCCTGGCACCCAGCATATTATGTTGGTAACAGAGTCGAAAATTGTGCCAGTGATGAAACCATGATCTGAAATAAAGCAGTGAATGTTTGTTTAATTCTTTTGTTTCACTAGACTTTGCTATTGTGATAACAAACACTCACGTGCTGAGAGTCAGTGGTACTAGCAGGACAGGTGCTTGTGTCCTGGCAAACACACATGGGCTTCCCTTCATTGTCCAGCTCACAGACCTTTCCACGTTTGCAAGGATGGTTATTACATGGGTCTATGAATTAAATAAAATTACAATTACAATTTGTAAAAATAAATTAGTGGCATTCCCAGCAGTGATTCTGACTTGAAGAGAAAAGGACCAGATAAGTCAGCAAATTTAACACACTCGCTTTATGTGTTATTAATGGAAAAGCCCACTTGATGTGACACTTACTTTCCTGTAGGCTTCTTGGTGCAGAATTTGACTCATTGCTGTCACCTTCATTAGACTCATCATACTTCAAAGCACTGGAATCAGCATTCAGTTCAGGTTGTTTAGCACTGTTGTTATTACTGTCATCACTGGACTCAGATGTGTTGTCTTCAATCAACCTCGCTCTCTGGTCAGCTTCGCTATCTTCATCACTGTCATCATTGAACTCAGCTGTGAGGTCCTCAGGGGATTGCACTCTCAGATCAGCTTCGCTATCTTCATCACTGCCATCATTGGACTCAGCTGTGAGGTCCTCAATGGACTGCACTCTCAGGTTAGCTTTGCTATCTTCATCACTGTCATCATTGACTCAGCTGTGAGGTCCTCAGGGGAATGCACTCTCAGATCAGCTTCGATATCTTCATTACTGTCATCATTGGACTCAGCTGTGAGGTCCTCAGGGGATTGCACTCTCAGGTCTGCTTCGCTATCTTCATCACTGCCATCATTGGATTCAGCTGTGAGGTCCTCAATGGACTGCACTCTCAGGTCAGCTTCGCTATCTTCATTACTGTCTTCAGTGGACTCAGCTGTGCTGTCCTCAGTGGATTGCACTCTCAGTTTAGCTTCACTATCTTCATCACTGTCATCATTGGACTCAGCTGTGAGGTCCTCAATGGACTGCACTTTCAGGTCAGCTTCGCTATCTTCATCACTGTCATCATTGGACTCAGCTATGCTATCCTCAATGGATTGCCCTCTCAGGTCAGCTTCGCTATCTTCATCACTGTCCTTGGTAGACTCAGCTGTGCTGTCCTCAATGGATTGCATTCTCAGGTCAGCTTCGCTATCTTCATCACTGTCCTCATTGGACTCAGCTGAGTTATCCTCATTGGAATCAACCATCAAGTCAGCTTTGCTATTATCATCATCCTCAGTGGATTCATCAGAGTTATCCTCAGTGGACTCCGATCCCAAGTGAGCTTTGCCATCGTCATTATCATAGTCTTCATTGGAATCAGTTTTGTCGTCATCAATGACATTGTTTCTCAGGTCAGCTTTGCTATCTTCATCCTCACTGTCTTCAGTGTCCTCGGCTGTGTTATCCTCAGTGGACTCCACTCTGAGATCAGTTTTCTGTTCCACTCTGTTTTCATCTCCATCCCCAGTGGATTCAGAAGTGTTGCTCTCACTGGAATCACCTCTGCTGTCGCTGTCAGTCATTTGTACTGACTCAGTCCTGATGTCCTGTGCCTACAGACAGAGAGAAACCATCCCATCACAATGCTGAAACCATATACAGTTTGTGAGATTAGCACAGAATACATCCAGAATCATGATGCTCTTTGCTGGTGCTGAAAACCACAGCATCATTTAGCTCTAGTCCACAATTTAATTCAACCAGTTCTCACACACAATGCCTGAAGCAGAAATAGTGAGTGGGAAACTGACACCTGGTGCACTGTTACACCTGAGCCCAGTGAGCCAGAGCCAAAGGTGTGAAAACACAACCTTCCAATTAATAATAATAATAATAATAATCCTTGCATTTGATATAGCGCTTTTCATGTCGGGAGGACGTCCCAAAGCGCTTCACAGAACACACTGTAAAGTGAATTGACTGTATATTTGTGGGCGAACGCGGCAGCCAATTGCGCACAGCAATGTCCCACAAACAGTCGTAGATTGAAAATGACCAATTTAATTATTGTTTTTAGTTTTGGAGGGATTATTATTAGGCGTGTGGAGTAAGGAAACTTGCCCAAGGTTTCGCCCTGTGCCTGGAATTGGATACAAACAACAATGGTAACCGCACATGGTTTCCAATCACTTTCAAAATCATCAGGGATTTCAAACTTCCCTCTCATTGATGAGCCAGACAGACTGGTCATTGATCAACTTCTGTTCACTTTACTGAGGTCTTGCCTCACTTTGCCAGGCACATCTCCTTCATTAAGCCAAACCCTCCCTTCCCCGGCACCATCAATATTTGCTAATTATTTTAACATATACTGTGGTGCATTACTCTATGGCTAATTGGCATGTTATTATTACTTTGGCTCTCCCGATTGGCTCCCGTCAGCGCCCCCTCACTCAAGCACTGACAGCATCACCATCCATGGTTGCACACTTCACCTTACTAAGTCAGTCCGGAACCTTGGGGTCTTGTTTGACCCTCAACTATCCTTTCTACCCCACATCTGCGCCATGACCCACTCTGCCTTCCCCCCCTCCACAACATTGCCCGGCTCCGCCACTGTCTCACACCGCAGGCCACCAAAACCCTCAAACATGCTTTCATTACATCGAGGTTCGGCTACGCAAACTCGTTGCTTGTCGGCCTCCCCAACTCCTCCCTCCATAGGGTGCAGATCATCCAGAACTCTGCAGCCTGTGAATTTCCACACTAGGCTCTGTGACCCTATTACCCCCATCCTTGCCCAACTCCACTGGCTTCCCATCACACGGAGGATACAGTTCAAGATCCTGGTCCTCACCTTCAAAGCCCTCCACAGTCTTGCTTCCCCCTACCTCTGTGACATCCTAACACCCTACCATCCTACTCGCTCCCTCCGCTCAGCGGCTTCAGCCTGCTTAATTCACCTTCACGTCCCCCATCTCGCTTACCCCACTATTGGCGGGCGGGTCTTCCGCCAATCTTCCCCTACCCTCTGGAACTCCATCCCTCAGTCCCTCCGCCTCGCCCCCTCCCTTCAAGACCCATCTCAAGATCCTCCTCTTCAACTATGCTTTTGATCTCCCTGCTTCCCCACCCTGCCCCCGACTCCCAGCTCAGATCCGTAACTCTGTCTATCCAGCGCCTTGGGACGTCCTCCCGACGTGAAAGAGCTTTACAAATGTAATTTTGTTGTTGTTGTTGTAGCTTGGGATTTATTTGACTCGTTGTATATTGAAGGAGTAAAAATACCTTATTCGTTTCATTGTCATCATCCACGTAATCTACCTGAGACACTCCTTGACTTTCCAATTCCTGATTATTCAAGGTTTCATCTGCTGATTCTGAAGAGGTAATATCGTGGCCAACTTGCTCATAACTAATGTCAATTCCGGATGACCGAAAATGTTCCACCCCTATGGAGTCAGAGTTTCGTAGAACATCATATGGATCTTCTTCATCAGTTATTTCATCTGTCGATTGCTCAAGGTAGTTCCCAGTGAAGTGGGCAAGCTCAGTATTGTGCTCAGAAACATGCGGGACCTCATTTGGTTTGTTATACATGAAGATACCATCCAGGCTTGGTATTCTAGGAGTGATATTCTCCATGGGTTTCTCAGTTCTAGTGTTTTCCATACTGCTTGGTGTGACCTGTGGAGCACTCTCACGGATGGCCCCAAATCTGTTGCCTGTAGAATGGTGCCCCAGACGATATGCTACCAGATTATGAATCCTCTTTATCAAAGGGAAGAGATGGTACTTGTACGGATAACTGTCATACACCATAGACCCTGGGTGTTCATTGTAATCAGAATAGAAAGGCTGTTGAGCGTAATCAGGATACCTTGCAAAGTATTGGGAATGAAAAGGCTGATAAGATTTGCTGTGGTAAGGGGAATATTCAGGAGGTACAGCAGGGAAAACCTCTGGGTAATATCTAGGCCGTGAAGGGATTTGAGAATGGGATCTACGTGGATAGAGAAAGTACTGCTGATCAACCAAGGGGTTCATCTGTAAATACACAGACAGAACATTACAAAGTGCCTCACTGTCTGCAGCAAGATGAAGAACCAGCATTATTAACAACAACAACTTGCGTTTATATCACGCCCCTCATGCAGGCTAGCGCCTCAGAGAGCTTGACAGTGGCGGAGCATGAAGCCGAGGCGAGGGGAGGGACGGTCGAACTATCAGTATTCATTATTCAATCTGCATGCAATTTAACACACGCAAATACACTGAATAATTCCTTACCTCATCACTGTCTGAATTTCCTCCCTGAAAAAATAATGAAAACCGGTTTATCCCTATTTGTGTAAGGGTGGTTACATACTTTAACTTTCACTTCTGTCTACAATAAACTATGATTTTGGACTGTGACATGTCAGTATTCAAAAGTGTAAACATCTGCTTCCCAGGCAGGTTCTCCTCTCTCTCTGTGTATCAGACTACTCTCTCTCCCCCCGGGTACCCACACTCTCTCCCCCACCCCCAGGGTACCCACACCCTCTCCCTCCCCGGGTATCCACACTCTCTCCCCCTCCAGGTACTCACTCCCTCTCCCCCACCCCCCAGGTACCCGTTCCCTCTCTCCTCCCACCGGATACCCACCCTCTCCTCCCTCACCGGGTACCCACACCCTCTCTCTCCCCAACCAGTACTCGCTCCCTCTCTCCCCAGGTACCCGCTCCCTCTCTCTCCCCCCCCCCGGGTACCCGCTCCCTCTCCCCCCAGGTATCCGTTCCCTCTCTCTCCCCCCCAGGTACGCTCCCTCTCCCCGCCGGGTACCCACTCCCCCCACCCTGGGTACCCGCTCCCTCTCCACCCCCCACCCCTGGTACCCGCTCCCTCTCTGCCCCTCGAGTACCCACTCCCTCTCTCCCTCCAGGTACCTGTTCCCTCTCCCCCCAGGTTCTTGCTCCCTCTCCCCCCAGGTTCTTGCTCCCACTCCCCGGGTAAATGTTCAATTCTGTGCGAAATTGGCTGCCGTGTTTCACCCACAAAATATACGGTCAATTCACTTCAGATATTCTGTGAAGGGCTTTGAGACATCTCTAAGACGTGATAAGGCACTATATCAAATTATTATACTCTCTCCCCAGGAACGCATTCCCTTCTCCTGGTTCCAGACCCAGCAGCTTCTGAAAGCACAGAAACACTGGCTGTAACTCTTCTAGTTGTCCTGTTTCTTGCCCAGATCCCTCATCCCTCTCCTCCTGATCTGTGAGTTTCACAACATCTGTCATTATGCAGCAACGGTGCTTATGTTGATGGAGAAATCAACTGTGGACACATACTCTAAACACTGAAAAAAGAGTCATTCTGCAAGCTTTTTGGGTTGAATGTAAATTAATTGAACAAAACCACATTTGTATAAACCATCATAACAGAGTCACAGAATTACCTCTATACTCTCACTGCTCACATCTCGAGTTTTGCGGATCTGAAAATGAAAACAGTGATTGTAAAACATGACAGCAAGGAAGTTGATTTTAATGTATGAAGTTATTACAATAATTATCTTTGAATATATGATATATTTCTGTGCTGCACTTTGAGATGTCTCAACGATATGATAGAGTGCTATATCAAATGCTAGGATTATTATTATTATATTAAAACAGTTCACAGGAATTTCTTAAATCACAATTTGGGACTCTTTATGGTAATCACACTAATTTGTGAGAAATCCAATACCTTCCAACTCAGACTACCTTCAGAGTGTAGTTGCTGTGGGTTAATGTGATGTATTTCCTATCACTGGAAGGAGTCTCACTTGGAGTACTTTTTTTTTAGTAAAACCACATTTTCGACCCTATCACTCAGAATATTCATTTGATGAATATTCATTTCACAAATAGTTCAGAATATTAGAGTTGAGTAAAGATTATATTTTTATCTGGAGAAAGTGACACTCACTGGGCTGGCGAGAGCTGTGCCTATCAGGCACACAATTAGAATGATGGTTCTCATCTTGCTGTGGAGTCACCTGCAGCAAAACAATGGTAGAATCACATCTCAAGCAGCGCAGGCAGAAATACACAGGGAATCAACATCAGAATGGGTTTCCAGGAATGGTGCAAGACTCACTTAAGAACAATACAATGCTGGAATTGGAAGGTGATAGGGTAGGTAATATGGAAGCATGCAATCAATTGAGCTGAATGACCTTCTTCGTCCTAAGCTTTCTTACCTTATTGAATGCTTTTATAATTTTAAACACTTCTATTAGGTCTCCCCTTAAACTTTGCTTCTCTAGTGAAAAAGGCATAACCTATCCAGTCTATCTGATAGCAGTAACCTGCCAGCCCTGGTATTATCCTAGTAAATCTACAAGTTGTAATAACTACATTTTAGTCCCCATTGATCAGAATATTCACTTGACGTCTATTCAATTCACAATTATACACAGATAAACCTCTGACAATTCAACACTCACCAAGCATTGCTTTGGAGTATTAACCTAAACTATGAGCTTAAGGTCCCGTCATGGGCTTGATTCTGATTCAAAGAATGCCATCAGCTGAGTCAGACTGACAGTAGAGAAGTGGCTGTTAAATAAATACCAGTGCATAAATTCAGCAAATGTTCAGAAATCAAAATCTTCACTAAAACAGCCTGGACAGTGAGCTCAAGTGCTGATATGAGACTTGAATCTATAAGTTTATACTCCAGAGGCAAATGTGCTATGCTAAGGTGATGGTGAGTTTAAATAATGTCTTGAAGCCGTTTTCCATGGACATGAAGCAAAATTAAACATTTCTGGAACTGCAAAAACTAGCTTGTTCCACATTTAAGTCATATTTGGCATCTCAGATAAATAAACAGAAGGTAATATTAAATGTTTTATTTGAAAATTCTGTAAAATATATGCTGCACCTTCACCATATATTCTTTTCCTGCTAAAATACTCAGTTAATAAGATAACCTCTTTTTAAACAAGGTTTAATAATAAACAATAATTAAACAAAAAAATAATAAATTAGTCACGTCAATCCACGACTGTTTGTGGGACACTGCTGTGCGCAATTGGCTGCCATGTTTCGCCCCACAAAATATATAGTCAATTCATTTTACAGTATATTCTGTGAAGCGCTTTGAGACATCTTAAAGACGTGATAAGGTGCTATATCAAATGCACGGATTATTATTATTATAATCCAGGGGATTTTTATCCATGACATCAGGAGATAGTCTCTTCACTTATTAAACAAGGTCATGGGATCTTTAACCTTTATCAGAACAGGTAGCTTAAAATCGAATTCAAAGCACTCAACTCTGGCAGTCCAGCACTCCAGTATTGCACTGACGTGTCAAGCTAGATTGTGATCTCAAGTCTCGACAAAGACAAGAGTGCTAGAAATCTAGTCAATCTGCAACCACACAACCAGTGTTCAGATGTCATGCCAAAGCAGCAAATTGTAAAGACTCAACAACAGAAAATAAATTGTGGGTTCAAAATTGTGGGGTGGTGCAGACCGATTTTCATTCCCTAAGACAAGTTTGTACTCCTTCAGCAATATTAATTTGTGAGATGAGTTAAAGTTATTCGTGTGACATTCTTATCTCTTATACCACAAGGAATTAACAGCCCCAGTCATGTGGTTACACCTGTCAATCGGAGCAGACATGAGATGAAGGAGGCTCCAAACGGAGATGAAGGAGCTCAACTGCGCCTGGGGCAGATGTGATGCCACAGGGAAGTGATTGACATCAAGCCCAAAGAATTAATTTATGTGGAGCAAAGCAGCACCAGCTACAGAATCTCTGTGGGCAAGTCCTCAGCCTTGCCCACTGTGATCACAGAGCACAAACAAAACAAAATGTCAGACAACAGTGCAGCCTTGAAATGTGGTTCCAGCTCATCTGCTTTACACCGCAATGTGTAATAATTGTCAAAATAAACCCGGCAGCAAGTCAGAAAAAACTCCAATCAATCACACTGATGTACAACGACTTGCATTTGTACAACAATGCCTTTCACATAGGGTCATGTCTCAAAGCATTTTACATGGACAGTACTGGACATTCAGCTGGTGATAATGGGTGAGGGAGGGGGGCAAGGCGAAGGGATTGAGGGAGAGCATTCCAGAGTTTCGGGGCGTAGTGGCTGGAGGAGCGACCTCCGATGGTGGGGTGGAGGGCTCGAGGGACAAGCAGGAGGCCTGTGCCAGTTGAGCAGAGGCGCCCGGTGGTGGATTGGGGTGTGAGGAGGTCGGAGAGGTAGCGAGGTGCCAGGGAGTGAAGGGATTTGAACACAAGTGTGAGGATCTTGGAAGTCGATTCGTTTGGTGAGGGGGAGCCAGTGGAGCTCGGCCAGAACTGGTAAGATGTGGGTACAGAGTTTGGTCCGGGTCAGTATGTGGGCGGCAGAGTTCTGATTGAGCTGGATCTTTTGAATAGTGGAGCTGGGGAGACCGTTGAGGAAAGCATTTGAGTAATCCAGACGGGAGGTGACAAACACATGCACGAGAGTTTCGGCTGCATTTGGGGTAAGGTACGATCGGAGGCAGGCAATGTGGTGGAGGTGGAAGTTGGGGGTTGAACCAGATGCCTAGATTGCGCACTGGTTCAGTGAGTCTGAGGGAGAGCCCAGGGAGGTTGAGGAGTTCAGATTCGCAGGAGTGAACACGTTGACGGGAGCCAATGAATATGGCTTCCATCTTGTCCACGTTCAGCTGCAGGAAGTTGCACGATTAATCTTCCAGGCACCCGATGCAGAAATGTGTTTCGTTCAAAACATTGATAACAGCAACTTGCATTTATATAGCGCCCTTCACACAGAGTTGTGTCCATGAGTGCTTGATAGCTCTCCTCTCACCTTTATTGTGCAGAATAATTTGCAACGGAGAAAAAGAATGTGAATTTCCTTCTCTCTATACTTGTATTAACCAAGGAGAATCCTATCCCTAGATAGTTACAGTTGTCATGAAAATGCAACCTTAAGAAAGAACTTGCAATTTTCTAGCGTCTTAGCAAGTTAAAATATCACTAAGCTCTCAATAGGTAATTACAGTAGTGACTGTTTTGTTGACAAACTCACCAGTCATTTGTATCACCACAGTCCCATGAGTAGCCATACGGCTTGGGTGGGATCCAGAGGTTGCTAGCCAGCCCTCTGCAGTGTAAAACGCTGAATAGAAAGAGATGTGTAACCGGCTTCAATTTTTCCATTGAGAAGTGGCAAACAAATCAATGTCGCACACGTCAACACAACACAAAGGTATCTTTCATCCCCGTTATCCTGGCACTGAAAGGGAGGTTGGCAAAAACTTCAAACAAAATGTACATGAGCAAAGCTTTCTTAATCTGTGCCATCTACACTTGTCCTTTTAGTTCCAAATCTGTGACTTATGTAAGGGAATACTTCAGAGTCTATCTTCTATCCATTCCAATAAAGCTTGAATCACAGCCAGGGTAGTTTATTTATATCAGCGTTATTGGAGGAGTCTTCTTTGTCAGAGTAACACAATTGACATTATACTGCCAATAAGGGCTCTCCCAAGTGATTTCACTGTGTTGGAAAATACATTTTCCATTGAAAGGAATGAAACAAACAATATGACACCAGCTGCCTGTAGTGGTTCATTGAATGGAACACAAAGTCTGGCTTGTATGTGAAATGGAAAGATCCACTCCTCATTCATACACTGTTTCATTCTGCGCAGAAGCCTGTATGGATTTTACTCTGAAGTGAAACTTGGAGACTTTACAACCAACATTTAAGAAACTGAAAGCTCCAGGACAGCTTTCACACAGACTCTTGTACCATTGTTGGTACAAGTTAGTATCTACAGCAGATCATCTTATCGCACTCCAACTCCTACCACAGTTACACGGGTCACAGGTCAAAGGACAAATAGGAAGTGATATTGCAGCTTTGCTAAATAATAATAATGCTTGCATTTGATATAGCGCCTTATCAGGTTGTTGAGACATCTCAAAGCGCTCTACAGAATATACCGTAAAGTGAATTGACTGTGTATTTTGTGGGCAAAGAGAGATTGAGCTCTTCAATGCAGTTGTAACCTCACTGCTTGGAAAGTCAATATCTAGAGATGTCAGTTTACAAATGTATCGGATTACAGTTGGACTCTTTCATTAAACTTAACTATTCAACACCATGTCTCTGAATTTAGATTACAATATTTTACACACCAAACACTTGTTTAAATCATGGAAATGGGTTTGCATTGTCCTCCTCAATAGGTTTTAGTCTGCCTGAATAATAATAATCCTTGCATGTGATATAGCGCCTTATCACGTCGTTGAGTCTTCTCAAAGCACTTCACAGAATATACTGTGAAGTGAATGGACTGTATATTTTGTGGGTAAAACGCAGCAGCCAATTGTGCACAACAGTGTCCCACAAACAGTTGTGGATTGAGTGACCAAATTATTATTAATTTTTTTAAGGGATTATTTCCCCTGGAAAAGTGATCCACCAATCAACTAACAACCAGGTTCCAACTTACTGCTAAGTAAACAGAGGCGTGTGGAGTAAGGAAATTTGCCTAACATTTTGCACTGCCCAGGAATCGAACCGATGTCCTCTTGCTTACGAGGCAAGTGCTCTAACCAATGCGGTACAGAATGGAAAGAGATTGCTATTCATCTCCCTTCAGACCATTAGTTACCATGTGAATTGGAACTGGAGAGATGGCCTGGCCTAAGCTGCAAAATAACATAACATATAGGAGCAGGAGTAGTCCATTCGGCCCTTCGAGCCTGTCCCACCATTCAATCATGGCTGATCTTCTAATCTAACTCCAGCTAATAACCTGACCCTGCCTTATCCCTATATCTCTTAATCCCTTTTGCAATAAGAAATCTATCTATCTAGTCTTGAATATGTTCAAGGACTGAACGTCAACAGCCCTTTGAGGTAGTGAGTTCCATACATTCACCACCCTTTGAGTGAAAAAGTTCTTCCTTAACTCAGTGCGAAAGGGTTGGCCTCTGATCTTAAGGTTATGACCCCTGGTTTTAGTTTTTCCAACCAGGGGAAACAATCTCCCACTATCTACTCTATTATGCCCTTTGATGATCTTATAGGTTTCTATAAGATCCCCTCTAATTCTTCTATATTCTAGAGAATATAGACCCAAATTGGTCAGCTTACCCTCGTAACTCATCCCCTTTATCCCTGGTACTAACTTAGTAAATCTATGCTGCACCCCCTCCAAGGCAAGTACATCCTTCCACAACCAATATCAAAAGGCATGGCTCAACAATAACAACAAATTTATATTGTGTCTTTCACATCGGGGGGATGTTCCAAGGCGCTGGACCGTCAAGGGTTTGCACCCGAGCTAGGGGTTGGAGGGTAGGGGAGTGGGGGGTGGGGTGACCGAAGGCACAGTCAAAGAAGAAGATCTTGAGACAGGCCTTGAAAGAGTTTTGAATAACCTGCAGCATGTGGAGCGAAGAGTTGGGAAGTCTGGCAAGCAGGGAGTTAGTGTAGTCAAGCCTGGATGTGATGAGTGTTCACTCAGCTGGTAGTGTCAAAAGGTTGTGGGTGTTTGCTGGCACAGAGAGCTTTGCTAGATTTGTGTACATATTTTTAACATGTCAGGCTTGGCTGCATGAGAACTTTTTATAAATTGTGGTTTGAACTGATGTGATTGTTTCCACCGCTAATCTTTGCGCTCAGAACATGGATTTGTTTTATTCATCCTGGATATTTTTAGCAACTGAATACAAGGAGCTTACTGTTCTGAACACAACAGATGAAGGAGGGCACTTGAGGTGCAACAGCATGAGATAGATGATGGTGAGTAACTACCCTCTGCTGGACAGATCAGATAGGTGTAGCTCTGCCCAGGACACCTAACCTGATTAGAGAAAGCCTGGCAATGTTTTGTGGGAAAACTCCCTATGAATTCAAATTCCAAGTACAAACTTTTCCTAGAATCGTAGAAATAACAGCAGCAGGAGGAGGCCATCAATCTTTGGCTTTTTGAGAGGAATTTGAACAGGATGACAGCCTACTTGTAAGGATGGAATTTACCTCTGAACGACAACCTGGTCCTCTTTAGTTTTCTAAGGAAAACACTGATTGTACTAGTGATAAAAAGGCAAACCCTGATGTGAAAAAAACACTATATTTTCTCTTTACAAAACAATTCAAAACTGTTTTGGGTCTTTAACAGATGTGTGAGTTACCTTCAGCAGAAATCCCTCTCCTGAGGCTATCACTTAGTAAACAGCCACTCCCCACCAGTTACTTACAGTCCCTAAAGTTCCTTTACATCACCAGGTCTCGGTTTGCTGCTCAATAGTAGCAAACCAAATAAATCAAAACTCAATACAAAAAAGGCATATTTTCTGTCAGTTTAAGAAATTCGTATTATTACTATAATAGCACATGACAGTCTAACCTTTAAACAGTCATTCTAATAAGAGGTTGTATTTAGATGGAAAAGATGCTTACAATATTACTTTAATGTAACATGCTTAAATAATTGCCACTGGATAAATGGTAAAGAATTGAAAGTCATTACCTCTCTTCTTCAAGAAGACACGGAAGGAAAATGAAATGTTTTCTGAAACAAAGGCTTTCTGACTGGTCACAGGAAAGGCTCAGGCTGGAGCAGAAAGACTGCATTCACTGAGTAAAACAGCTTGGCTTGCTGGAAACTTATCCTCCTGGCAGTCAAGCTCTGCCCAATCGGTGCTGAGGGCATGTGATGAGTTGAGGTGATACAACCTCCATTAACCCTTGGGCCATTAGACACTGAGGTGAAATCAGAAATGCAATTCCCTGCTGAGTCTTCAAAACCTATCAAATCTGAATTTGTAGATCAAATCTTCAGCACTTCGACAAAAACATATAAGACTCAAGTCTGACCCAAATCACAAAACTGTGTTTGCCTGCAAATACACAGTCACTACACTTCATAATAAAATCTTGTGAAGCCCTTTGAGATATGTTGATGTAGTGATAAGGCACTATATGAAATGCAAGCTGTATTATTATAAACCTTATTGAAGGTTTTAATATTATTGAAATCATACCCCAACTACCAGTCTCTTCAACAGAACAGCTAATAATAATAATTTGTTCACTCAATCCACAACTGTTTGTGGAACGCTGCTGTGCGCAATTGGCTGCCCACAAAATATACAAATAATTCACTTTACAGCATATTCTGTGAAGCGCTTTGAGACATCTAGAAGATGTGAAAAGCGCTATATCAAATGCAAGGATTATTATTATTATATCAAATGCAAGGAATATTATTATTAACTAACATTTAGTATTTATTGCTTTGTTTGACATGGCAAAAAAAACGCAATTTTCACATTTGCCTAATTTTCAGCTGTTAGATGTGTTGTTCTTTTGATATTTTAATGTTGAATGTGTTTTTCTAAATGATGCCTGTGGTTATCACAGTCTATTGCACTGATTTCAAATCGAGGGATTTCAAAAAACACCATTATTTCAGGAAGACATCATGAGGTATAACACAGCCCACTCAGGTGGGCTGTGTTATACCTCATGTTGTCTTCCTGAGAGTCCTCACTTCTATGTCATTGCTCCAACCACCTCTCTTCCTACTCCATAAGTATATTACCCTGATTTGTAGCGTGTAAGTTTAAAAGAAAACATTCTGCAGAATTCCTCCTCCCACTCAGTTAGTAAAAGCACATTCTGTACGGTGCCATAACACACCAAGTAGATCACAACTTTAGTCCATGTGTTAGACTTAGGGAAGTGGTTGTGGCACTAAAATTGGTCTCAGTGCTCTCTGGGTAAAGAGGGGTGGGGGAGAATCAGTCATGGTACCTGCTCCTAATTGCTATCCAGTTAACTCACATTGGACAGTGAACGTGTGGGATGTTAAGGGAGGGCAGGATGAGTCTCAGTTCTGATATTCCTCAACATTCAGTAGATTTCCAACACTCCCTGTTTAGCCTCATACATTTAGAATGACCACAATTGGGTACCAAATGATTACTGAGGGATAATACACCAGTCAAGTTGGGAGAAAATTGAAAAAACAAAATCTTTGAATCAGGTGCTCCTAAACCCCATTTCCCAAATTCTACAAGCCAATGAGGATAATGCAGGGATTTTTGCACATTGGATTACTCACAGAATGTTATCCAATGATAACCCGACACATTTCTGAAGGGTTTAATGTTGTTATTTGATGGAGTGGGAGAGAAGGTGTATTTGCTTCCTTAATCTCAGGCTCAGACTTTGGTAAAGATTACAAGGGTAACATTATGATGTAGACTAATCACAGGCATTGGGAAAGCTAAATGCTTCATATAAGTGCCCTGAGTCTATGATTTCCAGTTTCATGCCTTTTATGAGCCAGCCTGTGTATCTGGATGTCTTGATTCCTTCTTTACACTATGGGTTTTATTGCCTTATTGTAATGTGTTTGCTGGTATCTCTGATAATACAGTGCTTAACTCCAGGACAGTCATATCAGCCTTGACTGGTAGACGCCTTTTGGAAGAATTTGCACAATTCCGAGTTGACAACACAGAGTGTCGTTGGATCATGTGATAGATCAATGAAGGAGGTAATTGAGCCCTGAAAAGATATGTCTTAAAAAGTGTCTTATAGAGGTTCATGACATGCTAAATTGTTTTAAACCTAGAACAATACTCTCAGAAATGCCAAGGCAGCTGAACAAGAAGTCACAAGATTTAGAGTTATGAAGGCCAGTTTCAAGTTGGACACCAGGAAGTATTTCTTTGCACAAAAAAATCAGGAAAGGTGATTGAAGCCACGGCTCTAGGCTCATCTAAAAAGGAGCTTATAAAGATTGTGGGCGGGTATTCCAGAAAGATGAGATGAAGGACCAAAGGGCCTTCTTGATCTGACTGCCTCTTCTAATCTTGTGAATTACCATTGTCATAACCCAGAAGCTGTTGTCAAACATCAATTGCAATTATACTGCAGCCATGAAGGTGTTCTCAGGCAAGGCTATTACACAAAGAGCTTCCTCCCCTTCCCTCAATCGAACTGAAGATAGAAAAGTGAACTCTTTCTATCTTCAGTCTTGCAGAGTCCTGTAACATAGTGGTTAGCATCCTCGTCTCACAGGTGAGAAGACCCGTTTTGGATTCCCTGCCAAAAAAAATTGGTCACTCAATTCATGGCTGTTTTTGGGACATTGCTGTGCGCAATTAGCTACTGCGTTTCAGCCAGCAAATACAGTCAATCCACTCTACAATATATTCTGTGAAGCACTTTGAGACACCTCAATGATATGATAAGGCGCTATATCCAATGCAAGGATTATTATTATCTCTGATTTCCTATGAAATAGCAATGAGCAGCAATGGTTGATAAGAGTAAAGTGTAAACATGAAAGATCTGCTTGCTGAAAAGGCATATTGGCATCTCAAAGTATTGGGAATTGTATGGTGGAGATGACCACACCTATGTGGTTCCAGGAATAAGAATTATTAAATTCAGGATTATTTGGTCAGATAAATGTCTGACAAATGCAAACTGATTGCAGTGCTTAAAAATATCCAAACCAGACTGAGGGTTCTACATATGTGTAACACTTATACCTGGGAGTTTCCCTGTGTCTGGAATGGAATGTGTGCTCTATCCCTGGAAGGACTCACCCTGTTTGCATATTTCTGGAGAATATTAGCCACAGGTTGGTGGGAGCCAATCTCGCCAATGAAGCAGCCTAACTCATCAGCAGTACCCTAAATTCCAGCAGACCGCCTGGCTCAGGAACCAGATTACCAAGACCATTGCAGACAGCGACATGTTTCAACACTCCATTGCCAAGCCCATCACCCAACGTACCTCTTTCTCCCATTCCCCACCCATTCCATCCCCCACCAATAGTTACATTGTTCAGCACATTCACTGAAACATCTATGTGACATGTGACAGACAGATAGTGAGCTATTCTGTCCCAACTCGTTCAAATTCAATGCCTCAAAGTGATTTGATTTCAACCATAGCCTGTATTAACACAGATTCTTACCTCAAAGACAAAGTCAAAGTCTGTTCATTAGTGATATTCTGAGAAACGGTAGCTCAAATGTTGTCTGTGACAAGTGCAGACAGAGCCTGTCTGATGCATCTCACTTCTCTGGTATTTTTAATCCATTTTCCTTCCCTCTGATTGTTAAACAACAACTGTTTATGACATATCAGGTAATCCCAACTCTAAAATGTCATTATTTTTAATTTATGTTTTTGCTCATCTCCAGGAGTGCAAATTCGAATTTTGCTAAGTGTTAAATTGCAGGAATGCACTTTATGTTGTGTAACCAAAAGACTTTCCAAAGTTTAGCTTGCTCCAAGCTGCTCGATTCACTAATATTCTGTTGCCATGCAAAATTTAACATGCTTTCTTAATTCAAAATCCTCTAAAATTAGAAATATCCCAATAAATACAAAACAAAAATGATGTACAGAATAGAGTTGGGGAGGCAATGTAATATCTTATTAATGTTAATAATATTAATTCCTGTAATAGGAAAAATCAGAAATACAAAGGCTATGAATTGTTACTAAAATTTGCACACATCCCTTCCCCACCATCTACAACATTCTCCGCTCTTGGCAATGTATTTGTCAAAACAATTGTAATTGTCAAATAAATCCAATTTGCAAACTTCATTGTTTAGCCCTAAATGTTGCGGTCTTCTGGAACATCTTTGTAAGGATCAGGACGGAGGGATGAGGAACACAATGTAATTGGTAGCTTCAGTGTGCTTTGATAGACTTTCTATGTAAAGCCAATATTTTGTAAAGTAAATATTAACATCTATGTGTTAGTGAATTATGTACCCCCAAAATCAAATTGTTAATCTCAATACTATTGATAGATAAATATTAACAATAATCCTTGCATTTGATATAGCACCTTATCACGTCGTTGGTACGTCTCAAATCGCTTCACAGAATATATTGTAAAGTGGATTACTGTATTTTGTGGGTGAAACATGGCAGCTAATCGCAGACAACAGTGTCTCACAAACAATTGTGGAGTGAGTGACCCAATTGTTTTTTTTGAGGGATTATTAGCCCTGGAAATCAATCCACCAATTGACTGACATTCGTGTTCCTACTGTTAGGTAAACAGAGGTGTGTGGAATAAGGAAACTTGCCCAAATAGACCCAGATCCTCTCACTTGCGAGCTGAGCAAACTAACACTATGCTATGGATCTAAAATGTTATAATAATACACTCATAGAAATTTATATGATTCAAATCAGGCTGGAAATTGAAAAATGAAATAAAGGATGTGTTAAACAGAATCCCAACAAAAGTTGGGACATTGGGACAGCAAACATCGCTTTACCTTTACAATGAGAAATCCCAATGATTCCTGTGCAGCTGCGAGCTGTGGAATGCAGTTGGCCAGGATTGAATGACGTGGGCTGTAAAGTAAGATCGATATCCTGAAGTTTCAATAGATTCCCTGGAGGGGGTCAGGGAGACATTTCTGACCTTTATCTCCTTGCACAATTACCCAAGGCGAATCAACTCCCTCAGAAGATTAAATTACTTGGGAAAGTACAATTCAACACTGAGCTCTAAAAATAAATGTTTAGCTTCTTAACCAACCTCTACCTCATAACTGGCAACACTGGGGACCCCAAATTTCTTGTGTTTTTAGGCTTAAAATTTGTCTGAGGGAAAAATTTGTGTGCAAAGTTCTGGAAAACTGTCTTAAATTCAGTTTTAATTTAGAAGCCAGTTTACTACAGTAAACTGTAGTTTTCTTGTCAAACAACAACAACAACTTGCCTTTATGTAGCGCCCCTCACACAGGGTAGCGTCCCAGGGCATTTGACAGTGGCGGAGAACAACGCTGAGCCAGAGGGGTGGGGATGGGGGAAGGTGACCGTAGGCACGGTTGAAGAGAAAATTCTTCAGGTACGACCTGACAAAGGGGAAGGAAGAGCCAAGGATTGGAGGGGTAGAGGAAGAGTGGTCCAGAGTTTCAGGGCATGGTGGCTGAAAGCGTGGCCGCCAATGATGGAACAGAGGGCATGAGGGACATACAGGAGAGGGAAACGTGCCAGGAGAGGGAAAAAAGTGCATTCTGATATTTTATTTAGGGGCAGGTTATCTAAACTACGATGTCTGAAGTAATCAAAATTGGAATTTTTTCAGGTTAAATAGGATTGAGTCCAATTTTGATATGTGCTCAGTCCTCACCCAAATCATCCAAAGGACAGCACCACCATTGGTATGTCAGCCTCGACTGCGAGTTCAAAATCCCGATGGTGTGGCTTGAACCAACAGTCTTCTGCCTCAAGTGTGATACCAGGAGTCCTGTAGCTCAGTGGTAAGAGCGCTCACCTCGTAAGCGAGAGACCTGGGTTCGATTCCTGGCAGAGCGAAACCTTGGGCAAGTTTCCTTACACCACACGCCTGATAATAATCCCTCAAAAAAACAATAATAATTAAAAAATAGGTCACTTCAATCCATGACTGTTTGTGGGGCACTGCTATGAGCAATTGGCTGCTGCGTTTCGCCCATAATTATACACTTTACAGTATATTCTGTGAAGTGCTTTGAGACGTCTAGAAGACGTGAAAAGTGCTATATCAAATGCAAGAATTATTATTATTATCTGAGCCAGGCTGACACAGGACATCTAGTCACTGACTCTCACCAACTAGTGGAAATATTCTCTCCCTATCTACAAGCTATAAAATCCCTCATAATTTCACCGACCTCTATCAGGTCTCCCCTGAACCTTCTCTGTTCTGGTGAAATAGGCCCTGTTCCTCTAGTCTCTGTCAATAGTTCAAATCACTCATCCCTGGGATCATCCTAATAATTCTCCTCTGCACCCTCTCTATGACCCTGACATCTTATCTAAAGTGAGGTGCCAAAAATTAAACACAATACTCTAACTGCATTCTAACTAACACTTACCACAGGTTAAATATTACCTATTTGGTTTTATATTCTATGCCTTTATTTATAAAACCAAGAATCCCATCAGCTTTCTTTAAAGCTTTGTCCATCTGCTTTACCACCTTTAAAGATTTATGTATTTTAACCCTTATCTCTTTGAAAAATATTATCATTTAGTATATTCTAGCTCTTCCTTATCCATCCTCCCAAAATGTTTAACCTCACACTTTTCTGCATAAAATTTAATCTGCAATTTCTCTACCCAAACTATTATTCTGTCTATGATCTACCATTCTGTTTTATGTTGATTTCTCACTCACGCCACTGATCTCTTATTACTGTATTCCCTCACTTAGTATGTTGATTACTCTGTGACCTCTCACTCACTCTGTTGGTCGTTCACTCACTCTGTTGGTCTTCCAAATAGCACTTTGGGACGTTTCATTCTGATGCTGTGCTATAAAAATGCAATTTATTTCTTTCAGTTTTTTATTCTTTCTCTCCTACAATTTTCTCTCCCCTCTGGGGCTCAGGAACAAAATTGTGGACTCATTGTTTCACAGTCCATATTCATCTTCCAAACTCCACACATATCCACACTGATAGAGAGAAGGTTTATTGGGTGATAAACCTCAGTGAGTGAGTGTCAAGGGCTGTTCAACTGATGGAAGAACAGCCAATCTTGGCTTTGGCATTTTCCAGCAGGAATCATTAGACAGTGATCTGTGATAAGCATCAGAGCACATTTAATTCTTTGTAGCCCAGGGATGTTGGCACCACTTCTGTCACCACTGATATCAGTTGACTCAGCACAAACTGATTAAACTTCAGATTATCCCAGTGTGTATTATTCAGCTTAACACTAGGCAGGACCTTTACAATCTGACTCATTGGGTTGCGAGTCATTTGTTTCTTTAAACCACTGTGATCTCACATCAGGAAGATGCTCAGCTCACTGAAGTGAGGTTATTTAGGCCTCGGTGGAAGAGATCACCAGAAATGTATATAAGTTAGCGTTGTAATTCAAAATGGCCCACCTAGTTAAGATTTCTTTTTAATATCACTCATCAGGTCGTACCTGATCTGTAATTGATGATTCCAATTGTAGTTGGTCGTCCCATGAGTGTGGGGATGATTGGAAAGAAATCTATGTTCAGCTATTTTTTTTGTTTGGATGGACAAAGTCAGTACTGAGTATTGCTAGTTTGGGGCTAGAATAAGGTTTTTGTGTGTTTTTCCATTGGTGACCCTGAGCTGAGTAGAGTGGATGAAGAGTGGTTTTAATGGTTTGCATTATGACAGGCTTGGCTTGAATTTGATTTGCGTTCAATGGAAGATCAGCCACCTACTTCATTTCACAGAACAATATTTATTTTGTAATCTACATTCATGCCAGTAGAGCCCAAATACTGGATATTACCTTGTTCCTGAATGCTTTGCTGTTAGTAATGATATGTTAAAGGAGAAATGTAATAGCCAAATTTGCTCCTCTCCTCAAATTGTTTTTGAGTCATTTTTCCTTTTACCTGGATAGAAAGTTCTGGTCACCCTTTAGTACATCACCAGTTGGGTATTATTCAGGTATGAGGTGGTCTCAACAGTAATTGTTGTTAGACTATTTGACTTTAGGGGCATTAATGCTAAACCTAATCCTATCTTTTACTCGATATCCACAAATTACATATTCCCAATGGGACTAAATCTGCACAATTATCCTTTATTATGTATTATATAAGGAGTCCTGTAACTCAGTGGTTAGAGCACTCTCCTTGCAAGCGAGACACCTGCCGGGAACCTGGATTCCTGGCAGGCGAAACCTTGGACAAGTTTCCTTACTCCACACGCCTGATAATAATCCCTCAAGAAAAATAACAATAATAAAATTGGTCACTTCAATCCATGACTGTCTGTGGGACACTGCTGTATACAATTGTCTGCCTCGTTTTGCCCACAAATATACGGTCAATTCACTTTACAGTATATTCTGTGAAGGGCTTTGAGATGTCTAGAAGATGTGAAAAGCGCTATATCAAATGCAAGGATTATTATTATTATTATTATTAATAGAGTATCTAAGGGATTATTTCACAGGTTCAAAGGGTTTATGGATCCTGAAATCTTAGAGTGAGTGAATTATAACAACTTGAATGCTCAGTATATTCCCAAATATTCTTTCAACAAATTCTGGAATGTGTTGTGGGATGTGGACCACACAGTAGGAAGTACAATGTTGTGCTAATGTTAGGAAACAACATTATGGGATATAGTATATAGGTAGTTTGGGACAAATGTGCATGCGACCGCCAGGAAGATGGAAAACGAACTAGGTGGATCTTAAACTTTTTTCTTTTGTTCTTCTGTATGTAATACATTTCCAGAGGAAACATAATGAAAAGGCAACTGGAGTTTCTCAACAGGTTCATGAGGCAACAAAAAGCTTTTATGAAGAGAGAAAAGAAACTGATGAATATGGTGATAAGGCAGCCAGTTGGGGTTTGTGATCATATAATAATAATCCTTGCATTTTACATAGCATCTTTCACGTAGGAGGATGTCTCAAAGCACTTCACAGAATTTGCTGTGAAGTGGAGTGACTGTATTTTGTGGGAACATCACAGCCAATTTATGCACATCAATGTCCCACAAACAGCCATGAAGTGAATGACCAAATTACCTGGGGGATGGTTAGCTAGGACACCAAGAGAAACTCCCCTCTCATTTTGAATAGTACCATTGGGATCTTTAACGTCTACCTGAACAGGCAGACTGGGCCTCACTTTAATGTCTCATCTAAAGGACGGCAGCGTATCTCTAGCAATTTATTGGAGTGTAAGACTAGTCTGTGAGTTCAAAGCCTAATGTGGGGCAAAAAGGGATAGGCTTTTTGGGTAAATAAATTGGAATGTGAAGCGATAATTCTCACAACATGGCATATTACATTTCTAAAGATGTCCCAGTTGTTAATTATTGTGGAGAAACAATAGCCACTCCCAGCCACCCACCCCCACCCCTGACTATATTAAAATGGTTTGGGCCAAAAGACGAATCCCAGCATTTATCCACTGTTTAAAATTAAGATGATATTCCCCAATGCTGGGATTCAGCAGCAGGATCAAAAGTGCCGCTGCCCAGCTCAATAGCTATAGCAACCACCTTTGGCAGCACAGTCCAGCCTGGCTCATCGGCAGGTCCTTGAAGGGCAGACCAGTCACTGGGGGCAGGGAGGCATCCCACTTAACTCCTGTTAAGCCAAAGCCCTAACAGTGGTCCTAGCTGGACAAGCACCTGGAAAGCTTGCCAGACAGCAATATCAATGGTAAATGTTTTAGCTGGTTAGACTCCAGCAGTTACCCCAACGCACACTCCGGGGTCCCCAAGCCTTGGTTCTTGCCAACCTGAGCCTAATACTTTCTAGAATTAGGTAAACAGGATGTGTCCCTCCAGGAAGAGGGCGCATTCCATACCAACAATCTATCTCTGGGATTTCCATATGAAGGTGGGATGCATGGAAATCTCAGCTTGGCTTGGATACTTTTCAGCACGGGGATTGGTTTCCGCATGTGTCAGACATCCGGTTGATCAAAAAACATTGTTTTAAAAAATTGATCTCTGAACCATTTGAGTGACATTGGGGTGTTCCCCATGGCAGTATTCGGTTGGGACGTTCCACAGTAGTGGTAACTACCAGCAATAATAATTTCACCATTTATAATTATCACATCACATATCACAGTTTTCACTCAAAGTTCATCTATTCGTTCATAAAACATTCTTACATTCTTTTTATGTTCTTGTGAAGTGATGCCATCATTTTTGAAACAGAGCTACGTTTTTAAGCTCAGCGCTTCTCCGGCACCAGCCTAATATTCCCTAATTTCAGTCAGAACCTTGATTGATTTAGTTAAAATTTCCAAAACGCAATATTTCCCGCTTTAGCGATGGAAAATCTAATTCCTGCTGGTCTTGTGGTCAGGATGAGTCAGGTTTCTCATGATCTGGTGGGAGGCTCCATAGCAGCTGGCAGTCTGGTGCTGACAGTCTAGTGAATGTAATTAGTGGTGGTCTCCCCAGGGGAAGAATGTGTCTGTAATTCCTGGCAATCTCATGCCATGTGGTTATCTGATCCACATCAATCAAGCTGGGGGTGGAGAAAGGTTTGCATCCATCTTCCCTCTCGCAATCCAGTGGGGGAGCTTCTACACCCTCTAACTTGATGGGCCTAGGCAGGAGCCAAGGCTTAGGACTGCAGAGTTGTATTGCAATACTGCTGAAACTGCATAGCTTGCCATTGAGAGCACTGCCTGGAAAGCTTCCTGTTGCCTTTCCAATTACCAGTCTGCACCTCTAAGTCTTACTAATGGGCCATGCTTGCTGGAGTACTGCAGACCTACCTGGCTCAGGACAGGACTACTCAAGTGTAGTGACTGATTTTGTAGGGAGTTATTTTGCACCAACAAGACCCCAGAAACAATCATG